ACATTTTATAAGAATGTCTAATCTGTAATTTGATGCCTTTTGGGGGGAAGGGGGGGGGGTTTCCAATTTTTTCCTTGGCTTCTTTATGCACATTAATACAAAAAATTTTTAGCTGGGGGGGGGCCCCAAACTTTCGACCCCCCACTGTATAAAATTAAAATCGGGCTTTTTTTTAAGAAAAAAAGGTTTCAGGAATTTCCCCCTTTTCCCAAATCCCCCCTTGTCTCTCCCCCCAAACCACCTCCAAGCAAACCGCCCCTTGATTCCCCCCCCTGCCCCCTTTCCCAGTACCCCGTTTTAGAAAGACAAAACAAGTTTCAGGGAAATTTTTGGAAATTGAAAAAAAAAAAAAGCGGGTAAAATAGACCCTCCCTGCGCCAAAGCACCCCAACAATAGATCTCCCAAAGGCAACAGCAAAGACCAGCAAAACAATAGAACCCTCCAGCAGATCAGCAATAGGACACCTCTCTCAACAGTAGATTCCTATTCACATCAATAATTTACTCCCCAGAAGCATTCTAGACCCATCCCATCACCAATAGATTCCCAACCAGCATACAATAGACCACTCCCCCGAGCCCAATAGAAACCCCAGCAATACAATAGATCACCCCCAAGCAACAACATATCTCTCCTCAGCCAGCAATCAATAGACCCTCCAGCAATCAGCAATAATAGACTCTCTCTTAACAGGTTTGTCCATACCCATCAACAATTTACTCAACCCAGAAGTATTAGACCCATCCCATCAACAATAGATCCCCAACCAGTATTAATAGAGCTCCCCAGCCCAATAGAACTCCAGCAAAAAATAGATCCTCTTCAGTAACATAGATCCCCAAGCAACAATGGATCTCCCCTTTTTTTTTTTTTCTTTTCCTCCGGACCAGATCAATAGACCCACCAGCAGGTCAGCGATATTAGACACATTTCTCAACAGTAGATCCATCCCATCAACAATTGACCCCCCAGTAGCATAAGACCCTTCCCAGCAAAATATATCCCCTGCCAGCATCAATAGACCTCCCCAGCCCAACAAACCACCCCGGCAAAAATAATCTCGATCTCAACTAGCAACAATAGATCTCCCAGCAGCCAGCGTCATAGAACCTCCAGCACACCCTAGCATCTGCTTGCCATTACATACTGTACAATCAGAGCATGCAGGTAGCCGGAACACGCATTCCATTCCCACTTTTCCCACCCCCTGAAAAAAAAAATATATAAATATTTATTGTATTTATTAATAAAAGTAGAACTTTTTGGTTTAGATAGATTGGCAGTGAATTGGAAACAACTGTCAAGTTTGCATTGATGTCTGTTGTGTCCTCAGTTTTGGAGAGACTCAAGATTGCAGATGGCAAATAAAAAACTGCCAAAGGGTTTCACCCCCTCCCCTATTTTCTACCCAAAATGATCCTTCAAAGTTTTGGCTTTACATATACTTGAACTTTCTAAACCCTGTTAATTTTTTTTTTGTAATATCGTTGTCCCATTGGGGAGATTTCATTCGGGCAGTGCCCGCGTTTCCAAATGGTCAGTCCGCCCCTGGTAGCAACTGCACTTTGCAGAGTGCACAGTCTATTTGCCTTTCGTAAATCAACCCAAGAGTGTGCGCTTTGCAAAGTTTTATTTATTGGCATCTGCGGGGTTGATTTACGAAAGGCAAATAGACTGTGCACTCTGCAAAGTGCAGTTGCTACCAGGGGCGGACTGACCATTTGGAAACGCGGGCACTGCCCGAGAGGGCCCGGGGTCAGTAGGGGGCCCCATGAGATGCCCCTGGTACCTTTTTCATAGGCTTTTTTGAGTTTGGGCAACGACACAGGGGCCTCATGATCCCCTATTGCCCGGGGGCCCCATGAGTTGTCAGTCCGCCCCTGGTTGCTACAGACCTTAGTAAATGGGCAGAAGCTCAGCTGACGTCCATCATCCAATCACGTGCAAGCAAAAATGCTGTTTTTTTTTTTTTTTTTTTCATTTTTCTTGCATGTGATTGGGTATTCTTGGCGGACGCTTTACCTTATTTACTAAGCTCTGGAGTCTATTTGCCTTTTGTAAATCAACCCCAGACGGTGCACTTTGCAAAATGCAGTTGCTCCAGAGCTTAGTAAATGGGCAGAAGCTCTGTTGACTTCCACAGGGGCGGACTGACAACTCATGGGGCCCCCGGGCAATAGGGGATCATGGGGCCCCTGTGTCCTTGCCCAAACTCAAAAAAGCCTATGAAAAAGGTACCAGGGGCATCTCATGGGGCCCCCTACTGACCCCGGGCCCTCAGGCAGTGCCCGAGTTTCCAAATGGTCAGTCCGCCCCTGGTGTCCCCTTTGTAAGATTTTCCCCTCTGTTCCTGTTTTGTTATTTTTATCACTTTTGGGGAAAATGTTCACATAATTACAGATACAAGGCTATCAAGTTCAGCCAATTCAAAAATGAAAAAAAAATTCAAAAAAATTAAAAAACCTGGATATATGGAACCCCAAACTCATAGTTGATCCAAAGGAGGGTAAAAAAACAACTTATAAAGAGTGATCCAATTTACTCCAACAGGGAAAATAACCTTTCTGATCCCCTAAGGTGGCCTTTTTACCTACCAGAGTTTCTCCAGAGGTTGCCAGGGGTTCAATGAGAAATGTCTTCCTCTTAAATAGATTAACACTGAGATCAATGAGCTTTTCTGCAATCTGCATGGAGGGCATTCTCCACTGACCACCAGTGTAATAGGGCCCTTCTCCACTTACCATCAACCTGGGGGGGGGGGGGGGGGTAATTCTCTGCTAACCACCAATGTAATGTAGCACTTCACTGACCACCAGTTATTGAGACCGTTCTCCACTGGCCAGCAGTCTAAGGAGGGCTCATTCTCCATTGACCACCAAAGTTCTGTAGCACAATGGCCACCAATTTAAGGAGGCACTACAATGGCCCCAAATATAGTGGGCACTACAATGGTCTTGAAGGTGGGGGCACTACAATGACCACAAATATAGCGGGCACTACAATGGTCTTGAAGGTGGGGGCACTACAATGACCACAAATATAGTAGGCACTACAATGGTCTTGAAGGTGGGGGCACTAAAATGACCACCAGTGTAAGTGGGTACTACTGTTACATAAAAATTGCACATTGCAAAAACACATGCGAGGCTCCCTGAAACACGGGTGCGGAAGATACCTTGGCGCATTTGTTGCACATTCAAGTAAACAAGCTGCCCTGATGTGTTGTGCAAGTGCAAATGTGGTCTTAGGGGGCCTTTATTTCTTTTTAACCCTTCCCTATCCTGCAGAAAAAAAAAAAGCTTTTGATATACTTTAGGCCAGGGGTCTCCAAACTTTCTAAGCAAAGGGCCAGTTTACTGTCCTTCAGGCTTAAGGGGGGCCAGACTTTGGCCAGTGGGAGTAGAAAATGGCCCATCATCTGTTTTACTGGGAGGAATAGTGCCATGTTGTTGGTATGAGTGGGTAGAGTAATGCCCCATTGATGGTGTCAGTAGGGGACATGTGCCCCATCATTGATGTCGATTGGTGAAATAGTGCCCCAAGGGCCAGGTAAAAGGCAAATATTTACTGTCCTTCAGGCTTTAGGGGGGCAGACTTTGGCCAGAGGGAGCAGAAAATGGCCCATCATTTGTTTTAGTGGGAGGAATAGTGCCATGTTGTTGGTATGAGAGGGTGGAATAGTGCCCCATTGATGTGTTAGTAGGGGAAATGTGCCCCATCATTGGTGTCAATTGGTGAAATAGTGCCCCAAGGGCCAGGTAAAGGCAAAATTTACTGTCCTTCAGGCTTCAGGGGGGGGCAGACTTTGGCCAGTAGGAGTAGAAAATGCCCCATCATCTGTTTTACTGGGAGGAATAGTGCCATGTTGTTGGTTTGAGTGGGTAGAGTAGTGCCCCATTGATGGTATCAGTAGGGGGAAATGTGCCCATCACACTGGTGTTATTTGGTAAAATAGTGCCCCAAGGGCCAGGTAAAGGCAAACATTTACTGTCCTTTAGGCTTCACGGGGGCCAGACTTTGGCCAGTTGGAGTAGAAAATGGCCCATCATTTGTTTTAGTGGAAGGAATAGTGCCATGTTGTTGGTATGAGTGGGTAGAGTAATGCCCCATTGATGGTGTCAGTAGGGGGAATTGTGCCGCATCAGTGGTGTGGATTGGTGACATAGTGCCCCAAGGCCAGGTAAAGGCAAGCATAATTTACTGTCCTTCAGGCTTTTGAGGGGCCCAGACTTTGGCCAGTGGGAGTAGGAAATGCTCCATCATTTGTTTTCGTTGGAGGAATAGTGCCATGTTGTTGTATGAATGGATAGAGTAATACCCCATTAATGGTGTCAGTAGGGGGAATTGTGCCGCATCATTGTGTTGATTGGTGAAATAGTGCCCCAAGGGCCAGGTAAAGGCAAACATTTACTGTCCTTCAGGCTTCAGGGGGGGGCAGACTTGGCCAGTGGGAGTAGAAAATGCCCCATCATTTGTTTTAGTGGAAGGGATAGTGCCATGTTGTTGGTATGAGTGGGTAGAGTAGTGCCCCATTGATGGTGTCAGTAGGGGAATTGTGCCCCATCATTGGTGTGGATTGGAGAAATAGTGCCCCAAGGGCCAGGTAAAGGCAAATATTTATTGTCCTTCAGGCTTTAGGGGGGCAGACTTTGGCCAGTGGGAGTAGCAAATGGCCCATTGATGGTGTCAGTAGGGGGAAATGTGCCCCATCATTGGTGTCAATTGGGAATAGTGCCCCAACGGCCAGGTAAAGGCAAACATTTACTGTCCTTCAGGCTTCAGGGGGGCCAGACTTTGGCCAGTGGGAGCAGAAAATGCCCCATAATTTGTTTTAGTGGGAGGGATAGTGCCATGTTGTTGGTATGAGTGGGTAGAGTAATGCCCCCATTGATGTGTCAGCAGGGGGGAATTGTGCCCCATCATTGGCGTTCATTGGTGAACTAGTGTCCCAAGGGCCAGATAAAGGCAAGCAAGGGACCACATCTGGCCTCCCCTGGGCCGCAGTTTGGGAGACCACTGCTTTGGGCTACCCAAATCAAAGAGAACTGAGCCCACCCTGCCCCACCTAGAACTGGAGGATCGCTTGTGCCTGGAGTATGGAGAGCAGAAAAGACTGAAGCAATGTCCAGCCTGCAGCTCTGAGCACACTGCACCCCTCCCTGTGCCTCTGCCCCTCCCCCCCTCCCTGGAGAACCTTGCCCCAGGCCTCCCATTGGCTGATCCCTCCAACTATGCAAATTGCAGCGATTGCGGAAACAGAAGGGAGAGCTTGCAACTTGTGCGAAGTGCCCTCCACCACCACCTCCCCTCCCCCGCCCCCCTCCATCCAGGATCAGCCAGCCAAAAATACATGCTAATCCATCAAGGCAGAGCAGAGCGCCCCCCGCCGGCCAGCGGAGGAAGTGCCTGTGCCCAGCCTTCTCCTCCTTCTTCCGGGCTGCTGCCAACTTTGCAGACTGTTGTAAAAGGTGTCAGAAAAATGAAGCCACCACCGACCCGAGCCTTGTAGAGCCCCCCCCCGTACCGCACACTGTGCATGCACCATGGTACGTGGATTGCAATTCACTTTTCTATATTTTTTTTTTTTTTGTTCTGTATGCATGGTGGGGCATGACTGGGGGTGGGGTGAGGGTGGGGGGTGCAGACGGCTGTGTGGTGCAGGGGAGGGTGAGGTCCTGCGGTGCACCAAAAAAAAAAAAATCTCAGGGTGTATTTCCTTCTCTTTTTAGTGCATCTGCAGACTTGCTGAGCTCGGCACATTTTGCAATTGCTGGATGTCTGCCGGGGGAAAGGGGGGGCAGGGAGAGGAGAGGGGGAGCAGCAACCAGCAGCAGCAGCAGCGCCTCCTCCCTTCTGCCTGGGAGGACGTGTCTAGACCAGGCAGAGAGCGGCGTGCGCTTTAGCCAATCCGCTTCCGGGACGCCCTTGATGGATGGAGGCGGAGGCCAATCAGGTGCGGGGCAGCGCAGCAGGCTAGACGGAGCTGACCAGCGGGCGCTTTAGCCAATCCAGCTCCGGGACGCGTTTGACGGATGGGTGTAAAGGCCAATCAGGTGGATGGGTTGTGTGTCTGCCTGTGCAGCGGGACTTTGCATGAAGTTTTGCTGGGAATGTGCGGAGCCGGGGGGGGGGCCGTCGTGTGTGTTCCCGCTGCAGCCTTCTCTGCTCGGTGCAGCACAAAAAGAACGCATTTGACCCCATTCACACCTGGCGTTTTCACAATTGCGCAGTTTTCGCATCCCGTTTATTGCAATAGGCCGCCCCGTTCGCGACAAAAGCGCCAAAGTATACGCCGCTTCTTTTTTGCGCATTTGCACACAAAAAGGAAGCGTTAAGCTTTTGTGTCGCCGTTACCAAAGAACGGCCTCGCAAACGTTGCGCGTTCCGCGTTTTGTAAAAGTGCCACAAAAACGCAATTTTGCTGGTGTTTACGAAACGCTAACGTGACTGGCGCCTTATGCAGGCAATAGACGGTTTGTTTATCGGCCGATTTTTTGTCCGAAAGAATAATCGGCCGATTTTCGCACCGTTGGTGGGGAAATGTCATCGGCCGATTTTCGCGGTTCCTCCTCATTTCTTTTATCGGTCATGATGGAAAATTAGTGAAAAACGGCCGATTTTCGCAATCATTGGTGGCAACAGAACGACCGATGTTTCGTTTTTTGGACAAAAAATCATCCGATGAATGAACTGTAATGCAGGCCATAGACGGTTCGTTTATCGGCCAAATTTTCGTCCAAAAATAACGACCGATTTTCGCACTGTTAGTGGGGCAATGTCATCGGCCGAGGGCCCCATTTCCTCCTCATTTCTTTTATCGGTCTTGCTGGAAAATTTATGAAAAATGGCCGATTTTCGTAATCATTGGTGGCAACAGAACAACTGATGTTTTGTTTTTCGCACGAAAAATTGTCCGATGAACGAACCGTCTATGGCCTGCGTAATGCAGGCCATAGACGGTTCGTTTATCGTCTGAATTTTCGTCCGAAATAATAATCGGGTGATATTCGCACCGTTAGTGGGGCAATGTCATCGGCCGATTTTCGTGGTTTCTCCTCATTTTATCGGTCATGCTGGAAAATTTACGAAAAAACTGACAATTTTCATAATCATTGGTGGCAACACAAACGATGTGTCGTTTTTTCGGCCAATAATCGAACCGTCTATGGCCTGCGTAATGTAGGCCATAGACGGTTCGTTTTTATCGCCGAATTTTTGTCCGAAAGAATAATCG